GGAAAACAAGAATGGCCCTGTATTAAACCGTGCTGAAACCCTCGGAGTATGTGATTCTCCTCCGAGAACCTCCTTGCTGCCCTCTCTGGTGTAGTTTCATTATTTTACTGCAAATGCAGATAAGGTCGACGGATCGATATTTAGTTAGAACCAAAACCTTACATGTCGGATAGATATTTTTTGTCTCCTTTCCAATGATATTCGTCCTACTTCGAAGGATGAATGGAAGACATAGGTTAAAGGTTTAGGGATTTCGTTCGCTAATTCTGTCAAGCACTTCACCAGACACGATGACTTCATTTTTTGAGATTCTACAGAACAAGTTCCACGATAAGTGACGGGAATGGTATAGGTTCTAGCACAGGACAGTCGTCTAAGATAGCACAGTTTACATTATGAATCTGAAATTCAGCTTCCCTAGTGAACGGAAAGGCAAAGAACTGGCAAAAAGTTTCGGCTTTCACGTCGTTTTCAACGGATTATACACTAATATCATCATTAGGTACCACGACTGTCTGCATTAGCAGTTCGGAATCAGCGCCAGTGCCAGTTGTGAGTGGAGTTCTTCTGGTCTCTGTGCCCGGACCAGTACTGTTTTTAATTTAGTCGACGACTGTATAAATGAACTCGACTGTAATGGACTCATGCTTGTTGATGACATTGCTGTCTTCATCGCCGTGAAACATTTCCTACACTTCCTTGGGGACAGGGTCACCACTGTTCTCAAGGATCACAAGCCCCTTTTCTTCGTTCTCAAGTCCACTTCTGATAAGCCCAACACAGGGAAATTTGCCAACTGGACTACATCTCGCAGTTTAAGTCAGACATCCGCCATATCGACGGGTCAAGCAATGAGGTGGCTGGCGCACTGCCCAGGCCCTCTTTTGCTCAACTCCAACGTTCACCCGGTATGGACCTCGCTGAGATGTCCGCTGAACAACGCCCTGTCGGTTCACCCTGTGATGAGGATGTTTCTAGACTCCAGCTTCAGGAGCTACCACTGACCTCTGGCAACGGCACTATTCTGTGCGACGTATCCACCCCCTTCCATCGTCCATTTGTGCCACCATCCCTCCGCCGCAAAGTGCTCTCCGACCTGCAAAATCTGTCTCACCCTGGGAGTCAAAATACCGTCAAGCTGGTTTTCCACAGCTTCGCCTGTTCTGGGGTGCACAAGGAAATGAAAGCATTGACACGGGCGTGTCTCGGCTGTCAACGGAGTAGGGTCCAACGGCACCTTCCCTACTTCGGATGCACGGTTCAGTCATGTCCACCTGGACATCAGAGGCCCCTTGCCTCTGTACAATGGCTGTTTCCATCTCCTAACCTGCGTATATCAATTCATCCGGTGGCCAGAAGCTATCCCTCCGCCCAATGTCGCTGCTTCAACAGTCATCAAGGCCTTCCTCAGCCGTCGGGCTGCCATTTTCTGAATCCCCCCACTACCATGCCTGACCGCGGTGCCCAATTTGAATCTAACCTCTTCCGGTCTCTTCTTGCCTTTTTAGGCTGTACTCGAATCCGGACGACAACCTATCACCCGGCAGCCAACAGAATGGTCGAGCGGTTTTACTGCCAGCTGAAGGCTTCCCTACGCGCCGCGGCTGATTTGGAGAACTGAACGGACCGCTTCTCACTGGTCCTGTTTGGCGTTCGCTCCTCCCCCAAGTCGGACCTTGAGAATTCCGCTGCTGAACTCGTGTTCGGTGCCACCGTCCGACTTCCCAGTCAGATGACCTCGCCAGCCTCTTGAGCTGCATTCGAGGATCCTACCAACCTCCTGCACAGTGTACGGCGATTCGTGCGGACACTTTCCCAGTTCCACCCAGGCCATCTGTCTCCGAGTCTTACCCCGAGAAAGACTTGGCGACATGCTCTGACGTCCATCTCCTATGTCATTGAGTATGCTGGCCACTGGAATCAGTCTACGAAGGTCCCTCCCGATTTAGTTTTCGGGGACAAAGAACTTCGGCATCCAATGCAGAACTCGCGCGGAGATCGTGAGCGTGAACCGTCCCAAAGCTGCCGTCTCGGACACCCCGCCGGATGAGAGCTGTGGTCCCTACTCCCTCCTGAACCTCCCTGATCCTCTATCCCTCCGTCCAGTATACTTCCTATGCACCAATTCCGCGATCTCCAACTGCAACTTTCCCTCCCCATCAACCTCCACTGACGTAACTTCAACCCAAACTCACTCCTCACCTGTGCTCCCTGTATATATTGTGGTGAGATACCGGACTAACTTACCTTTGACAATTTAGTCCAGTTTTCTTTGCCCAGACTGCTTGTCTGAGTGTGGTGGAAAGCAGCACACCGGAACAACCGCCTTGATGGGCTGATTTGTTGTCGCGCTCTGTTGTCAAGTTAATGAACTTCCAGAATCTCTATATTATTCGCTGCTCAGTTTTACTTGCTGCCTTTAAGGCTAGGGGCTCGTGAGATATAATTTGTTAGTTCGTTAGTTAGTCGTTGGTGATTTCCGACGTTAACGCAGACTTTATACCTTTCTATGTCATACAGAATAACACTAAACACTATCCTCCGGATAGCCCCGCTGAGACACATGAAAATCCGTCTACATCAGCTAGACCGATAACTTCTCCTGTCCAACTGGGTGCAATAAGGTCTACAGTTAAGTCACCCGTGGCTTGGCGTCAGAACGGTGAGACTCGAAAACTGAATCAGACTCCGACCCAAAAGCTAGGTAGTACAGTTCCATTTAGGGGCACGACGCCTTCTCTTAGATCTAACAGGTCTGCTCAGTTAAGCACGTCTACAAACCCCACAGCTCCAATTTCTTCGGATTAATGAGCGCCTGTGACCGTAATAAAATCGAAAATGTCCAGAGGGTTTTCACTCGGAAACTGTTCTCTCAAGCTTCGTCCAGTATCTCTTATACTCAGAGATGTCAGCTGGCGAACATGAAGTTTTTGTGGGTTAGAAGACTCGAAGCTGGCCTTTGCTTCCTTTTTCGCATCAACTCTAGCTCCAGTCTTCCGCACATTGACACTCTCACTCCGAGAGATCGGTCTTATGCCACGCGCAACTCCTGCATGGTGATTCCGCCGCCTCATTGTACTACACCTAAGCGCTCCCTCTTCTTTGCTTCCAAATATGCCTTCCTTTGGAATAATCTTCCGCCTGAAATTAGATTATCGCCTAGGTTACTGATATTCAAGTCGAAATTACGCAAGCATCTTACACCGGAAAGCATAAAGGCACTGTTAATGGTCACATTCCCGAACACTCAGATTCTTGACTTCGAGAAGGGTCCTCCTGGGATTTAGTGGTAGATTAAGTGGTAACTCCTAATTATATCATTAGAAACCCCTGTTTTTAATTGGTTTCTAAATCCATCGCTATCCTTCCCCCCATAGCGACAATTTTCGCGGTTTTTTATGTCATCTCCCGCATTCCGACCTCATGCGGTCTGTCGACGCTCACGGCGGAACCCTCAGTATTCACTGTCTACTAGTACTTCGGTCGAACCTCCCTTCCTCACTGCTCGGCTGAGCTCGAAGCGTGCTGTGGCCGATCGCATCTGGGTTCCTCTCGTCTGGCCTCTTTGACGCGGCGTACCAATCCCGCCCAGACGATCTCAATTGTGAATCCCGTATACAATGCCATTTGCAAGGCAGTCCTGTCTGACCCACATTCGTACCCATCAAGGCGGACATTTATTGATACCCTGACGATGACCGAAAACATTCCGTTTTATACCGCCACCTACAGGCCAGTCCTGCTCGCTTTTTTCTGTTATTATTTTTAAAGAGGGGTTTTTTTCTCCTGTAAAATTAATCCAATCATTTTTAACTTTTTCCGAGGAGTTTTTTTTTCACCCCTCAATCATCATGTTTCTCAATGGACTTCTAATTCAGAAACTATGAATTGCATTTTGTAAAGATTCAGCCTACCTCGTTTAAAACTCGCATGCAAATTTATTTTAACTTGCTTTGATGGGACCCCGACGGGTCTTTAATAAAAATTATCTATCTATCTAAATAATTCTCTGTCCTGCGAACCGGCTACTTCTCAAAGCCCTTCTATATATCCAGCAAATAATTCATACATGAATTGCCCTAAATCATTTATGCCCCAACCTAGTTCAGGCTTTCCACCACTTAAGGCCAATTGCTCTCAGGTATGTCAACCTACCTCCTTTGACTTCCAACCTAGACCTGGTTTCCACCCTTTTATTCTTATAGCTGTCTACCCTCACCCACTAGCCCCTCCTTTCCTTCTAGGCTCCCTCCTCCTCCCCTTCCTCCACAATTAAACTACAAACAAGTCTATCCATGTTATAACTCCCCTAGCATTCCTGTGTTCGAAAACTATATCCCCACATCCTTTAGGTCTCATACTCAGCCTTCTCTTGCTGACTCCCCGTACGTCAATAAATGTAGACTAACTGGCACTTATTCCCCAAGTGTAATTAATTCACAGCTTGCATATCTGCCTCCAAATATTTTTTAAACTACCGTCGAAAATAGCATCGCCGTTCGTAACAGATTAGATATTATATTATTGAATGCCAGGTCAGTTATAAACAAGATGGCCCAAATCAGAGCCATTGCTCTCGAAATGACGCCTGATATTATATGCGTAACAGAATCTTGTACCCATTCTCTAATTCCTGACTATGCCCTTCTCATATATGACATCGATTTTTATCGCTGAGACCGCAAGACTAGGCGTGGGGGTGGTTGTCCTCTTTATCTTAAATCCTACCTAACGCACTCTCCCTATTATTTGGATGTTTCCTCATTCACGGGAAACTTCTGCTTTGCATCTGTTATTCTCTTACCGCAAAGAAAGGCAATTATAGGCTGTATCTACAATCCCCTAAATTCTTTAGCCAGTGATGATTCATAACTCCGTGAAATATTTAAATTGATTTCGGAAGCTGCTTTCGATGTTAAAAAAACCACTGGGTATTTTTACTTACCTTAAATAGACTGGGTTTCCAATATCTGTCCACCCAGATTTCAGCTCTGTCGATTTCTCTAACCGGTCCTAACAGGTGCGCTCTCTAACAAGAAATAATCACGTTTTAGATCTAATCTTCACCAATGACATTGCTTCTATTTTTACTGCTTTCAAAACAACCTCTCTGACAGCGACCACGTATTAATTCATTGTTGCTTACCACTTGCCTTTTCAAAAAGGACCAGCGTCCTTCGGACTTACATAAACTACGACTGCGCAGATAACGACTTAATAAATAAATGCATTAGATCGCTGGATTGGTGTGGCTTCCTCTCCTGTAGCGATGCAACCATTCTTCGGGATGTTATGTGCAATATTTCCAAGGACATCCTAGAATTCGAGCCGCGTAGATATCTCAAGCCTAATTCTTCAGATTCCCTTGTTCCCCATTTTCTTCACAATAGACTAAAAAATTTGAGACGGCAGCTGCGTGACCCATCCACTAGTTCCTTATCAGTTCGTCTTAGAATCACAGAGATTTTTGAGATGGCCTCAAGGATGCGCCAAGCGCGCGACAGGCAAAGAGAATCAATTGCTCTCAGTGATTCGAATCCCGGAAACTCCATCGCTAACATCTTCCGTCCTCGGTCTTCCTCTAAGCGTGGTCACGAACTTCCACACCTGCTAAATGATAACAAAGTCTTCCTCATCGATGACACTGACAAGGCGGCGTTGTTTAGTGCTTTCTTTGCAAAACACCTTAATACTGAGTTCGATCAGGTCCCTTTCTTTCGATCACTTTCAGATTGGACACTGAGTAAAATCGATGTCTCCACAGATCTCATAAGGAAACACATATGTCGTTTGAAATACTCACACTGCTCTGGAACGGACGGGATTCCGAATTAGATTATTAAGCAAGCGTCCGACCTTTCCATATTGCTTAGTCATTTATTCTCGGTTTATATTTCAAAATGATTCTTTCCTGAAACATGGAAAACGTCAATTATTATTCCCGTCTTCAGGTCCGGATCTCTGTCCGATGTTATTAACTATTGGGGCGTGCACAAAACACCGTATCTAGCGTAGATACTTGAAAGAATAATTTTCAATGAACTTCTTGACTTCTGTCTAGTTAATCGGCTTCTGAGCTCTAGTCAGCATGGATTTTTACCTGAACGATCCTGCGAAACATGCCACTTGGCTTTTCTTAATCTAATCACTTCTTTTCTTAATGAGCGGCAGTCAGTGTTAGTTATTTACTTTGATCTTAGCAAAGCCTTTGACAAGGTGCCCCATAGACGTCTTTTAGTAAAATTGGAAGCTCTCGGCATCCGGCCACCTCTACTCGACCTCATCACGTCCTATCTGTCCAACCGATATCAGAAAGTCATGGTCAGTAATAGCTACACGACACCTCACTCGATCACGAGTGGCGTATTTCAAGGCACGGTTCTGGGTCCGCTACTCTTCCTTCTGTCCGTCAACGATATTTGGACAGAACTCGGAAATTCGCAAACTTTTTCTTATGCCGATGACCTCAAGTGTGTTTACTCATACTTTAAGGACACCGCAAACGTTTGTGTTGAAAAAAATTAATGCCGATTTATTACGCTTAAGCAGATGGTGTTCGACATGGCAGATGCAGTTTTAATCATCCAAGTGTAGTTTCATGTCTTTTGGTGCTGCCAAACT